ATTGTACTGCAATCCTAAAATACGAGATTATTTTGTCCTTGTTTACTGTTAAACTTTGAAAGTGTTCCTCATGTATTGGGAAAAAAAGGTGGTTACATCATTTATTATTGGTTGCAATATTTTACATGTTTTTAGATATATCTTGTTAATTATGTAGTTAATAACTACATATATACTAGGTTTTGCTGTTTGATCTAGTTTGAATGAACTATATTGAAATCTCTGATAGTGAATTGTCACATCTTCCCTGTATTCTTCAATTTTTACTTTGTATATTTTTGTGATATTTCATTAGGAATATTTAAATATACATTGTTAGATTTTTCCAGTTAAATGTGCACTTTTAATATTATTGGTTAACTATTCTATATTAATTTTAAATTTTTATTTTTAACTTAATATTTGCTTTAAAAATTATATTTGCTTGATAAAACTTTTCCATTACTTTGTATTTTCTATTTTCTGTATCCTTATGTTTTAAGTGTATCTGTTTTGAGTACCAAATATTTGGTACGGAAATAGCACCTATCTTGAAGAATAAAGTTTAAATGATTATTGTGTTTGTATACCTTCATAATTTATATGTATACATATACATATACATATATGTGTATATGTATAATTTGATATATCAAGTTTTTCAAGTCCGCTTGCTATAAAATAACTTTTATTATACACCTGCATATCTTCATCTAAATTTATGTCAGTACCATTTTGCTCTTTATACTCTTTTCAGATTTCAAACTTTTAATTAAGGATCAAACTTATGAAAATTGCCTAATAAAATATTATTGTTTAAATCCTTTTGAAAGAAAAACTTTTTGTAGTACTCAGAAGTATATTTCTGTATACAGTTACTTTATTCCCCCCAAATCTCAGGTCATCAAAAAGAGCATCTATGTGCCCAAATATTTCACAATGTAAATGTAAATTCTTACAATTTTATTTCTTTTCACTTGTCTCACAGATATACCACATGCATGGCTAACAGCCTTGGGATTCCCTACTCACAGTCCTTTATGGATCTTTCTAGTGTCAGCGGAAGTGTTGCCCAGGTAGGAAACTATGGAGATGATTCAAGTGACAGATGATGAGAATTCAATTTCCATCAACTTGTAATAGGGTGGGAGACAGAAAATAGACATTTTATAGAGAGAGGTAAGTGATTATTGACAGGGGATGATTTTTTTCTTTCCCGATGATATTTGGCAATGTCTAAAGATAGTTTCAGTTGTCAAAACTGAACGTTCCTGGCGTCTCATGGGCGGCAGCCAGGGATACTGCTAGACAACCTACAGCACAAAGGATAAAGTCTGACAGTAAAGAATTATCTGGCCAGACATGTCAGTAACAGCTTCAGATGCCTTGTTAGTACCCGAGGTCATCAGAGTGAATAATAGAACCCAAAAAGGCAAATGGGGTTGACTAATCCAAGAACTATCATTATACCAGGACCATGTCAAGAAAAAAAAAAGGGGCAGAAGATATGCCAAAGACAAGGAATGGTCACAGAAACAAAGAAGAATTTGAAGAGTAATACTATGAAAATGAAATAAAATTGAAAATCTTTCAATTTGAAAGTAGTCATTGGCATTCATAGGGCTCAAAATCAAGATAGACTGTAGAGTTTAATGTATTTGGTAAGTAGGTGAATGGGCTGATATCTTCCATTTATCTCTCTCTTCAACTTGGTAGTTTTGAAAGACATTTCTCTTTCAATTGACATATTGTCTATAAAATGTTTCTTATCTAGAGTAATATGAGATATATGTCAGTGGTGGTAAACTTAGGGCATATGTGCTGCAGGAGGCTGTTATCACTGAAAGTTCTAAAGGTTAGCCACTACTGGTATAGATTAACTGAATCCTGGCTTCTTCATAAATTAGCTTCTGCTTACATAAATATTTCTTTAATATCATATATTTATGTACTGCATGCACCATTTTACTTATTGTATAAATATTAATAATACCGCAGGAGGAGCATAAATTTGAACTCAGAGTGGGCAAGCTAGTGAGACCCTGTTTTAAATACAAATTTTTCAAAAGGTTCTGGAGATGTAGGTCAGTGTGAAGGCCCTGAGTTCAAACCCAGTACAGTAAATAAGTAAGTAAATAAATAAATACTAACATTGCAGTGATACTTGTCAGGCACTGTTCTAAAATGATTACATGACTTACTCATTTTTTCTTCATAACAACCCAGTAAGGATGTGCTTTTATTCCAAACAAACAACAAACAAACAAAAAACAGGTAAAGGGAAGTTAATTAGTTTTCCCAAGGTCACAAAAATTAGTGAGTGTTTTCAAGACTAGAAAGTCTGACACCGGTGCTCAAGATAACGCATCACTACCACAGTACAAGTATAGAAAAACATGCAGGTGCCTTTATTATCTATTGCTTACAAAAAATATTTGTTTTGTTTACCTTCAACTTTGTGATGTCAAGGACATTGCAGATTATCAATAAAAATTTTGAGAACAAATGAATGAATGAGTTTCTCAACATACAAGACAATTTTGCTATTTCCTTACCAATTTTCCTATTGCCTTTCAGCAAATGCTTTTATCTTTTCTTTCAAGTTATTATTTGAATAGTTTATTGTGAGACATGTTATGACATTTTAAACATTTATATTTAAAACTTCATTCTTTTGCTGAGAAAAATTATCTCTTCTCCTACCAAATAAAATAGCAGATTAAGTGTTTACATGAGGAGAGTTTGTAATCCAGGATTTCTGCTGCAGTAAATCCAAACATTCTAGTCAAATCCTGCCTTTCATGCGACTCTTCCTGATGAGTGTTTCCATCAAAGCTTCACCCTCACTGCCCTTAGTCACCAAGTGCTTATTTTGAGAATGGTTGCTATCATCACTGACTGTCTACACAGGTACCACCTAGTTACTTTTGTTTGGCAATTATGGGTTAAATACATTCCTGGGCTTAGTCTTGCTTAAGCTTGCTTGCTGTCTGCATTGAAGTATGGTAGTCATTTCTTACAAGAGTAAAGTAAAGCTTTCTTTGAACAGAAATATTTCAAAACATTGATTTTTATCTTTTTTATTTTTTACATAGATGAGAGTTTTCTTTCACTGTTTAGCCTTTCTTTTCTGCCTTTAGCCTGCTACACTGCATTATGGTTAACACTAATGATTGAAAATAGTTTATATTTTATTTTGTTAATATTGTTCTCTTTTGAGATATTTGACCATCCTTGCTCACTAGCTTGCCACCATTCTTAAGTACTTCTAGCCATGGAATTAGTGTCATTCTTAAGCTATTATACCAGGATATTCTTGAATTATAAATATCTTGTGCAAGAATTCTTTTTTTTTTTTTTTTTTTTGGTACCAGGGATCGAACTCGGGTCCTTAAGAATTCTATATTTTGCTGTAGGCTTTATGCCCAGTAATTCCTTGATAGACAACTAGGATTAATACATTTGCTAGCCTTTGCTTGATAATAGAAAACATGTTGAGCTATTTTTAAAAGCTCCTTACATAATTATCCTGCATACCTCCCTCCTAGCACTTTTTCTCCATGTGATATGATTGTTGTTCACTAACTTAGAAATAGGCCATGGGGTCCTTAAAACAGTTCCTAATTCAGAAACAGAAATAAAGATTTGGGATTTTAGATACATGTACAAAACAGCAATAATATGTGAGTGACTATTCATTGTGGTTTAGTCAGAGTAAAAAAGCCTATCTTATGCATCTTTGTATCGTTAATATAAATACAAACAGCAAGACCTTTTTGCTTTCCCATTTTTCCTTTAGTTCTTTCCTCCATTTCTCTAGTTGAAATGAAGGATTTTGGAGCCCAGGAAGGATGTGAAGCTGAATTTGAGAATGGACTGAATTTAAGGGATAGTTAAGACAAAGGGCTGGAGGAGGTTTCCTAGAGTGAGAATTTGAAGAAGCCAGTGAAGGACTTTGAAGGATTCGTCACGAACATAGTAGGCAACAGGCAGTGAATGGTCAACACCAGAGGAGACTCCAAAGGGGGGTTTATAGAAGACAATAAAATAAGAAATAAGAATTAGCCATTAAGAGCTAGGTGTGGTGATGTATTCCATAATCCTTGCACTTGGGAGCCTGAGTCAGGAAGATTGCCATGAGTTCAGGGCCAGCCTGAAATACATAGTGAGACCCTGTTTAAAAGAGTTAGCCATGAAGTTTGACAAGACTCCAACTGTAATTAGAGTGCTAGGAAGAAAGTAGGGACAAAAGCCCGATTAGAGTGCAATAAAAAATAAAAAGGAAATAAAGGGTAAATATGGTGACTTTAGATACCTCTTTTGTCAGACACTATGATAAAGAAAATCACAGAAGTCAGTGATAGCTGGAAATTTAACATTATAAATGAGCATATTTTAAATGGAGGGCAATTTAAAAACTCAAGACTATGAATAATAGAGCATAAAGAGAAATAGGTGATACAGAGAGCTGACCCCTAAATCCTCAGCCCCCATCCTGCCTTTTTAATACATGCAACATTTTTTACAATTTAAATGTGGCACAGTGTTTCTAATTTTCTTTTTATTGATGTGATTGGAGTACAAGGTATTTTATTGAATGAAAACTTTTTTGTATTCTGAGCCTTGTAAAGTTTTTAGGAGATTGATAATGTAATATTTAAGCAAAAATAGACTTCATATAGGAAACTTATTTCCTTGTGGTATTTTATTCTTATTACAGAAGCAAAAGTACAGTTAATAATGTAGTTTGGAAAGAACAAATTAAATAACACTGGGGGAAAAACAAGAAAAGCTAACACAACTTGAAAGGGACTTTGAAAAGCAAAATATAAGTATTATCTTCATCTTCTTTGTTTACTAATAATATTGCTGAAGATTATGGTGTTTTTGTAGTAAAATATTCTATGAATTTGAGTAACTAATGCTAAAAATGCTAATAATACAACTTTAGTGTTAATCTTTTTTGTAAATAACAATAGCCATGTCCATATTTAATATTCTGTAAAGGAATATGGATATTACAGAAATCAATGTTCAGTGTGTAAAGGATAAATATGAGATATTGATTTAGTGACTCTTTATTCAACATCTTCTTCCATATTGGTATCCTCAAGGGCATGCATTTCTCTTTCTGGTAGTAATCCATATTCATTTAGGAAAGACTCCACATCCGCAGCAAAAAATTCTTCAGTGAACTGTTCAGCAACACTAATAAAATTGCTTATGAGTTCTCCGCCTTTGTAGACAAGCAGTGTGGGGAGTACCTCTAAGGAAAAACGGTCGTCAGCACCTGTTTTGGAAGCTTTCATTTTACAAAACTTGACCATAGGGTATTCTGCTGCAAGGTATATTAAACTACTGTTTAGAGCATCACAGCCCTTAATGCCATCTTCATAAATGTGAACAACAATTGTCGTGATCTTCTGCTCCTTTTCAATTGTTTCTAGGAATTGCTCCCCAGTTTCTAGCTCATACACAAACCCATGTCTAGGCCCAAAACTCAGCTTCTGATGCATATCTTGCATGCACTGTCTCCTGTATTTACGAAGGCAGTTTTCATCTTCTTTGTCTTGATTGATAAGTTCATATTCTTGTATGCTCATCTGAGAATATATAAAATAATTTTTAGTGGTCATTCAGTCAGAAATGTATGTTTGTTAGATACACCAAACCCATTCGAGCTCCAGGAGTTTGTGCTTGTTTTTCTGTCTGCCCTGAGCACCACCTCCCCACTGCTTTCTTTTTTATTCCATTCAAGTGTTTGTTCAAATGTCACCTCCCTTGATTACTTTAAAAAGGCCCCCAACAGTCTCTATTGTATACACTGTTTTTTTTTTCTGTAGCAATAAATATGACCTGTGCTTGAAGAATGTATTTGATTATTTAGTATCAGTTTTTCTGACATGTTCAGTGGGAGCAAGAATTTTGGCCCATTCACTCATCTTCAACCTCTGCTTTATACATGGCTCAGAATAGGAGTTCAATAACTGTTTCATGGTTAAATACATATAGAAACTTTGCTGAATGCAGTTGAGCAAGTGGCTCATAGACTCAGTCAGAAATATGCTACTTAAAAACTTTAAATGAAAAAATCCAGCAAGGTTCTATTCTAGGGTGGCTTTCATAAAAACAAACAAAAAACACAACAGGGCATTCAGGCATACACACACACACACACACACACACACACGTCCCTAACATATGCCTTGAAATTAGTGTTCCCTACACAAAAGCTATTAAAAATCTTACAATTTACTTTTTAAAAATATGTAGGGTGGAATTCAAACAAGATACATTCACTACTATTTAGAGTTTATCAAATTAACCCAGAGAGCTAATGTCTAGAGCAGCAGCATCACCACCTGACTTGTTGGAAATATAGATTTTCAAGCTCAGTCAGATCTGCTGAATTAGAACCTGTAAAGATTAGGTTTAGTAATCCAGGTTTTCAAAAGCCCTCTAAGTTATTCTTATACATTGGTTTAGGTTAACATGAGAAAAGATCTAAGTTTCATCAGCAAAGACTGATGCTTTTAATCATGGTTAGACCATAAAATTATCCGTCCTTTATAATATCTACTCCATCATTAATGTATTCAGTAGAATGTTAAACACTTCCCCCAACCAAAACCAAAATGAAACAAAACACATAACAAAGACATATTGGAACATTTACCATAAGAGACACTATTAGACATGGAACACTCCACAACTGTGGAAGTCCCAATGAGATACTTCTTCTGCTGTCTTATCATTATGAAGTCACTCAAACAGCAGCAATTCTTAAAGTAGAGAAATAAAAAAACAAGAAACTGTTTACGGAAAATCTATCATGTTTTAGGTGTCTTGCATAGATTATATTGGTTAATCTTCACAACAAACATCTGAGATAGATACATTAGTGTCATTTCTATAAAATAATACTGAGATTCAGTTTAAATACAAGTCCTTCAAAAAACAAATACATATCCTTCATGTTTTTATTTCCTGTTTCTGCATTTATTCCTCATTCTTTTTCTTAGCCTATACTTTTCTGTCTTACATTGTTGTCCCAGTTTAATTTGTTTTAGCCTTAACAATTATGTTTGGTATAATCCTTAAGTTGTTGCCATAGTCTTATTAATTTAATAAGACAGAAGGAACACACAAATAGTGATTTGAAGATACATTTGAGCATTCATATAAAAACCTATTCCCTTCACATATTCAGGTGAATATTTAGATACTTAGGTATTCAGATACATTTCCAAAGCTTACCCTTAGCACAAAATCTTTAATGATAATGTCTCACATATGCATAGTATTTTATGGTGCAAAACACTTTAATGTTTATTTATTCTTCACAGTTGTTCAAAACAAGTGGAAGAGGAATTCTTATAATTTTGCAAATGGAAAATTTAATTGTGAAATTCACATTGTATTGTGACTAAGTATAGGAATCAACCTCAGTCCCACCACCATGAACAGAAGCCTTGGACTATGGAATATTTCTGATTTTATAATCCGTCTGCTGAGACTTAGTGTAGGATGAATATACACTGATTTGTAGATAAATAATCCACTAAAGTGATTGTTTTCTCCACAAATGAGAATCACCTTATGGTTTCCCTTATTATTATCATTTTTATACAAATAATAAATATTAATTATGATTCAAAAATGACGTGAAGCTAAAGAAAGGAAGTAGTAAATACTGAAATTTTATCAATTTAATACTCAGTTAATTTTCTTTAACAATTTAGAGTTGACATAGACATTATCTAGTTTAGGTGAGATCTTTTTTTGGGGTACTGGAGATTGAACTCGGATCCTTGCACTTGTGAGGCAGGTGGCAGAACCACTGAACTAAATCCCCGGCCCATCCATGTGAGATCTTTTTTTAAAATAATACTTTTTAAGAGAAATCTCTGCCAGGCGTGGTGGTGCATGCCTGTAATCCCAGCACTCGGGAGGCTGAGGCAGGAGGATCACTTGAGTCCGAGACCAGCCTGGGCTACATAGTGAGTTCCAGGTCAGTCTCAACTACACAGTGAGACCCTCTCTAAAAAAAAAAACAACAAAAGAAGAGAAATCTCTCTCTCTTTTTTTGGGGGGGACAGGGATTGAACTCGGGACTTTGCGCTTGCGAGGCAGGCAGCAGAACCACTGAGCTAAATCCCTGCCCCATGAATATCTCTTTTTGTTTTTGTTTTTTGTTTCTTTTTATTGAGTTTGTTGGTACAATCTAGGCATACAATACAGTTATATTCATTATTGGGATCCTGTACCTTTACATAATAGGTCTTGAGTCTCTTTTTCCCCTTGTTCCTGCCCTCCCTTCACCCCCTCCTCCCTCCCCATTTACAAACACTTTATTTCCATTTTTTCAATTTCTCATATTTTTTTCCTCTCCTTATTACCTTTCTCCTACCCTTCCCACTTTCTCTACACCTTCAGCCCTTTACTTCCTATTTCACATTATTAATTATCTCATTAGGATCTTGTGTACTATTATAGTTTTTCACACCAGAGAAACTATTCGTTATTTCAGTTAAAGAAATCTCTGTCTGAACATTAAAAATAGGGAATCCTAAAATAAAACTAAAAAGGAAAGTAAAAGATAAAAGGCGATGATGTAAGATTAAAATAATCCTTAATTCTGAAGATGAAAATGGTCCCTTAGCATATTTAAATTGCTTCTTGCTCTTGTAGTCTTATCCTATCCTTTTTTTCATTATTTAGAGAATACTTTACTAGTTTCTGTAATCACGTAGATATGACCTTACATATTTAGTACAGTGTATTACTCCTGTACAAATGGAAAAAAAATTAACATTTCTAGACCAATATAGCTGTCCATTTCTGTACAATGCCAACTCAACACAGTAAATTGGGGATAACTTTTTCCAAAGTTGACAGCACTGTTAAAGTTTCCCAAAATTCAATATATATATATATGTATATATATTTATATTTATATAAAAAGACTAATAATAGCAGTATGTTATGCATTGATAGCAGCAACAGCTTTTCCAGGTTCTGCAGTCATCTGAACAAAATTATAGACATTCAGCACATTCCATTAAAAAAAAAAAACAAAGAAAAGAATAATATCCAGAAAAGAGCAACGTTCTGTTGATGTTGTCGTACCTGGCACCATTTTTTTTTTTTTGGCATCTTAATCATCCTCTGGAAAGAGAACATTCTAGAGTCATATGATTAACTATAGCTCTGATAAAGCACGGTCACTAGTATGTATCATAAAGCAGGTACAAGATATTTTACAATGAATATCTTTTTTAAAGAAGGGATTTATTATATTTACCTCCTTTTTCTTTGCCTAACCAATCTCATTCTTTCAAATTAGTAATACTGTCAACGATAAGTGTCTTCGTACTTTTCTAAATACAAACTCATTTACTTATGACCACGTAGGCATACAAATATACAGACATGTCTTTTACTGCTCTAGAGCATAGAATCATTTATCTAATTAAAAATTATCTGTATTTTGTTTTATCACATTGTGAAAATGTTCTTGGCAATTTGTTCCTTTAGCATGTATATTTTACTTAGTGTGGAGTACTTCGATAAGCATTCATTTCATTTCCATTTTTCTTTGCCATTATATACTATACTGCAATAAATATATTTTATATATTTTTCTTTATTTTTTATGTTACTCCAGGTCAAACCTAAGATCTTTATACTGAGTATATCCCAACTTTTTTTTTTTTTTTTATACCAGGGATCGAACTCTGGACCTTGCGCTTGCGCGGCAGAACCACTGAGCTAAATCACCGGCCCTCCAACTTTTTTATTTTTCATTTTGAGACAGTGTCTTGGTAAATAGCTAGATGGCCCAAATGGGCTCAAACTTGTGACCGTTCCGTCTCAGCCTCTCAAGTTGCTGGATTACATGCATGCGTCACCACAGATTATTTGCTAATATTATAATGTAGTTTACGTATTAAGTGTGATTTAGACTAGAAAACATTGTAAGCGATCCATTATTAACTTTTTCCTTGTCTTACCTTTCTGCTGACTTTTGAGTCTTTGTCATCTCTACTCTGAGGAGAAGATATTTGTCTGAGAATCTTCTTCTTGCTAGGTGGGATTGATTCACTATCTTCACTCTCTAGCTTAAACTTTCTCCAATCATTTATTACTCCTTTGGGTCCTGTAATAAAATTAAAATAAATGTTTCTCTTTTTATTTCCAAAGAGCTTTTTGAACAATTGATATTTGTGTAAGTATTGTCATGAGAGTAGACTTGACATCTCCTACAAAAGAAACAGATATCTTGTTTGGACTAGAAATTCCCCTACTGTTCTGGGCATTTAACTTAGTAGTGTCACCGCTAAGGGCTGGTAAGGACCTGAGTTCAATGTCTGGTACCAAAAAGAAAAGAAAAGAAAAGAAATTCCCTACTGTTCTGGTAAAAATTTTCTTCCACATTAATCTTGTTAAATGAGGTTGGGCAAAGAATTTTTGAAACATTTGCATTAATAAAGATATAAATTATATACTTTGAACAAGTAGCAAAGTTTGGGCATAAACATATTAAAATCAGAACATATGGAGAAACTAGCATTAGTAAAAATAGCACTTTTGTTACATAAGAAACATCAATAAACTAACATTGGCACTATACTGGGATTTTGGGCAAAGCAATCTTAAAAGACAGCCAAACAAAAGGAGGCCTGACCTCAATTAACAAAACTAAAATAACTTTAAGAAAATAATTCCATGTCTATCCAATTCTATCTAAGATTCTAAGAATCTTTCATAAATACAGAAAGGATGAAATTTACATATTTAAGAAAAATTACAGTAGTTAAAACAAGGATGATCCAATTAGAATTCTAATACTCAATTTTTGTGAAAAATAAAAGTGCCTAGAACAAAACCTTTAATTCTTGAAAACATCTTTTACCAAAACTTAATCTTCCATGCCTTTAATATCACATTCTATAATGTGGCAGTTAGGGTAGAGGTTCAACTTGATTGACTTTGAGATCTGCTTGGAGGATTGGGGGAGCATACCTCTAAGTGCATTGAGGTGAGTAATGGAGGTGTGGCCTTGAGGTCTAGGTGTGGACCCTCACCCCTTCTGCTCTGGCACTGTTCCCCTCATCTGCTTTTGAATTAAGTGTGTTTCTTGTATGCAGCATATTGTTGGAGTTGCTTCTTCATCCATTCTGCCAGTCTGTTTCTTTTGACTGGTGAATTGAGACCGTTAACATTGATGGTTATAACTAATATGTAAGGCAGGCAGCCGAAGATTTTTTTTTTTTTTTTTTTTTTTTTTTGTAACGGAAATTGAACTCGGGTCCTTGCTCTTGCAAGGCAATTTTGGAAATGTGTGAGAAAAGAACAGATTTTACCAAAGTTCTAACTTTATGACTTTTTTTTTATACTCCACCCCTGAGGTGAATAGCTCATTTGATCTTTGCTCTTTATCTTGTTTGAGTATTGATTTTTTTTCCTTTATTAATTGGTAGGTGCTTTTAATATATTAAGCATAAATCCTATTGTCTATTGATTTGCAAATATTTTTTACAATTTGTTAATTTTTGTTGTTGTTTAAAAGATTTGCTTTTGGTAACTTTTGACAGACTGCAAATATTTCCTTTGTTTCTCATCCTCCTTTTTCCTTATTTTCCTCTTCCTCTTTTTCCTTCCTTCCACTGATTATACCATTTTACTTAAAAAAAATTTAAATCATACTTAGAAAGATAGTCTTCATATAGCCATTGTATAATGAATTTCCATGTATTTTGTTTAGTATTAGTGTGAAATTAATTTAAACTTCTGGGCTGAATTTAAAGGCTTCAATCCATATTAAAAGATACAAGGAATTACTAGTCAAATAAGATTCAATAGAATTATAAGAAATCTGAGTTTAAAAATTTAAATCATGGTATTTAACTTTTAAGCTCTCAGTGGAATATAGAGAGCCACCTACAATTTAACAGGTTAAGAGAACAGGCTAAATTGAAATCCACTTGATCCAAGAATATTTTATCATTCTTTTTATTTTTTCATATTAAAAATTAAAAGATGACTTGTTTACTTTTGACCTACTGGTTTTATTGATTCATTGGTAGGGGAGAGTGTAAGTTGTTTATATCATGGATAGATCTGTGATAGTTGAGTAGCAAGAAATTATCAGATTATTGTTTCTTCACATCCTCTAACATTAAGACTTTTATAAGTTATTTCAATTTTAATTAATTTACTGAAAAAATTTTTATATTTTTTTCTATTACCTATGAATATATGGCTTAAATTCAATAATAAATATTATCATTAAGAGTATTAGATATTTCTAGATTTAATCTTAATTGTATAACTATTTTTTCTTCTTTTCCTTACCTGTATGTGTGGCTTGTCCTTCAAAATCTTCCTCCAATCTGTGGCTTTTGGCTTCTTCCATTTTAGGGACTGGATTTGACACGATCTATAGAATGAACAAAGCAGTAACAATAAAGTTGAATTCTGAAATATACATGCAAACATACATATATATAAAATATATATATATGTGTGTGTGTATGCATATATATTTGTGTGTGTGTGTGTGTGTGTGTGTGTGTGTGTGTGTGTGTGTGAGACAGTGTACTGCTAAGTAGTTCAGGCTGGCCTTAAACTCACTGTGTAGCCTGGATCAGCTTTAAAGTCCTGGTGATACCCCCTGCCTCATCTTTCTGAGTGTTGGGACTACAGAAGTGCACCACCACACCTGGCTGTTTTTTCTTGTTTGTACTTATGCCTTCATTTTAGGTCTGTATACTTGACGAACATTGCTGATTACAATTTTTTTTAGTTTATCAAATTCATAAAATAATATCTAAACATTTTATATTATAATAAAATGTTCATTAATAATACTTGACATATATCTTTCTATATCAAAGAGCAAGTTTTCCACCAAGCAAATCAAAACAACCAGTAACTAAGCCTCCAATATTTTGGAAAAGCTAAAATCTAAGGGCACATGGTCATTTTCATTCATAGGAAATGCCTTGATGCCTTCATATAGAACTTAATGAATGCAACCTGTGTGTTTTATCTTTCATTTATCTGGAAAACTCAATTTTTATACACACGAATCTATTCTCTAAGGAATACAAATACTTATGATTTTCCTGAAATTTTCATCAAGGTAGTATACATTAATGCTAGATTATACTATTGTCCTTCACATTTTTAACTTTTGTCTCCTTTCAGAGTCAGTTTTAAGCACTAATATTATCCAGCTTATTTATTGAATTCTTTCTTAGTTTTTATCCAAAGGCACAGGATAATAAAGTAGAAGTTTTTGTCTTGGTTCCTTTTTTCCTTGACTTCTGGTTTCAATACTTGCAGTGGTCTTATAAGCTTCCTGTTTCCTAGTTACCATAATCTTTATCCAGAATCACTGGAGGTCAAAGTTACCAATTGATTTTTCCCTCCTGAACAAGAAATGGCACAATGGAGTACCGCTCTGTATAAATAAGAATAAATTTGAGTCATTTCTAGGAAAATGGATGCACCTTCAGACATAATAAGTGAAATAAATTAGACATACAAGCTTAAGTATTACATCATCTCTCTTATATGACAAACCTAAAGTATAGATAATTTAAAGTGTAAAATAAAAATAGACAATAGGAAACAAGAAAATAGATCTTTTGAAAATGGGAAGGGAATTAGAGATGGAGGGAACGAGGGAGGAGAAATGAGAAAATAAAAAGAATTAAGTTATGGCTGGGGATTTAGCTCAGTGGTTCTGCTGCCTGCCTCACAAGTGCACGGTCCTGAGTTCAATCCCTGGTACCAAAAAAAAAAAAAAAGAATTAAATTATGTACATATACCAACTCCCCACAATGAATATAATTATGTATATACTGCAAACATGTACTAGTGGAACAGTCAGGGATTTGGCTCAGTGGTTCCACCACCTGCCTTGCAAACTCAAGGGCCCAAGTTTTATCCTCAGCGCTTACACACACGCGCACACACACACACACAACCCAAAACAAAGAAACAAAAAACAAAACATGTACTAGTGGAACAAAAGACAAAGAAAAAGCTGTTGTGGGAAAACAAGTCCATTTCACAGTATTTATGTAACTATGAATGTAAAAATAAATATTAAATTGAAGATATTTAGTAATTTAAAATAATAATGGAAAAGAAAAAATATATATACTGTTTGACAAAAACAGTTTAATGACTTAGTGCAATTACTTAAAATAGAACAAAGAAATGTTGACTTGCTTGTTAATTTTAATAACTTTAATTTCTAGAAAAGTAGAGATTCAAAAGTTTTTCAAATTTTATTTCAAATGTTATAGAGACAGAAATATAGCTTTCTTATTAACTTATTTCTTGATAACTACATTGTCAATCTAGTGGAAAAGAGAAATTTTAACTTTTCAGAAAATGCCTTTTCCAATCTTAAGAAATCTCTTTAATAAAAAAAATCCATCATTTAGAACAGACCTGATTCATTCATTGGATCAGTACATATTGAGAACAGATTATGTGTAGGACATATTTCTTGAAGAACAATACTCTCACTAAGGCGCTTACTAATACTAAGATTTAAGTGACCTGGATTGCTTGTTTTAGTAAAAAAGTCCATCCTTACCTACATTAAAATACAAAAATTGTCAAAATTTGTTACTGCTGTTGTAGGTAGTGAACAAATTATAATAAAAATATGGAGACTTGGATATGTTTTCTTGTACAGCTTGTGGCCTCTGCAGAGGGTAGTAGGATATTATTACCTTTTTATAAATTTGATATATATTCCTATTAATTTCCCCTATTACTACCTCATTCTGGAGTTTGCTGATTATGCCCCAAAATTTATCTTATTCAAAATGTGTATTAGCAAGCTGGGCGTGGTGGCACACACCTGTAATCCCAGAACTGAGGAGGCTGAGGCAGGAGGATTGCTGTGAGTTTGAGACCAGCCTGGGCTACATAGTGAGTTCCAGGTCAGTCTCAAATAGTGAGACCCTGTCTCAAAAAAACAAACAAAAAAAAATGTGTATTAGCATCATAAAAATAATTGAATTAGTATGTATAAGTCACTTGGTTCCTTGCACATAGTAAGTGTTCTACATGTCTGTTGGATAAAATAAAAAAGAACATTTTTATGTACTTGTATACAATGTATCTGTAATTTAAAAATCAGTATCTGGCCTGCAGTGGTATTATTAGTGATTAAAACTTCCACATTTGCTGTACCTTAATGAATTTAAAAAGACAATAGGATTATTAGAGATAGTAAGTGTATTTCTGTGTGACTGGAAATTGGTGATAACGGCAAGAACAAAAGAAAACATGCTACCAAACAGTTCATAATAGCTAAATCTTGGAAGTGGCCTATATTTCCACCAATATATTAATTTATAATGAAAATGTATTATTTATATAAAATGGAGTACTACTCCATTTTAAGTGATAAACTTGAACTATTTGTAGACAAATGGATACAACCTGAGATCATGATGTTAGGTGAAATAAATCAGACACACAGTTTAAATATTACATAGTTCCTTTTATATGAGAAACCCAAAGTAGAAATAAATCAAAGATCAAAAGAAAAGACAGATAATCGAAACTAGGGAGATAGATCTTTTGCAAATGGGGAAGGGACTCAGAGATTTGTGGGGGGAGAAGTGAGTACGGGGAGGGGAAGAGAAAGGGAGGGGGTGTAAGAATTAAGATGCATCATGTACATGAGTGAACTCCCATAATGAATGCAATTATTATGTACTGCACACATTACAAATAATTTCATAAAGAAAAACCCCCTGCCTTCACCAAAATTTACTGTGATTTATAGTTACCGTATCTCCCATCTTGCTTATTAAAATCTACAATGTTTCTTATGTTCTAAGTAATAAAATCAGCATTATGTAAAATTATGACTTGATGACTTTTGACAGAATATTATTTATTTAAAAGGGCATAGCCAAACTCTTCAAAAGAAAAAGGACAAAGGTAATTTTGGCAAGAAATGTAGTTTAAAATATAATTCTCCTGAGTTAGGGTTTGATTTTCTTCTTAATTTAGGATTTTTTTTTTTTTTTTTGGCTTTTTGAGACAGGTTCTCACTACATAGTTGAAACTGACCTGGAACACACTATATAGTCCAGGCTGGTCTCGAACTCATAGTGATCCTCCTGCCTCAGCCTCCCGAGTGCTGGGATTACAGATGTGAGCCACCACACCCAGCCAATTTAGGATTTTAATGTTAATAAAAGTAATGGTTTATAGGTGATAACATTCTCCAACTGTCTCCTTAAAATGCTTCCAAACATGGTACAGTAATTATGAAGAAATAAAGTGAGGTGAATATAAATGAGTCTGCTTGTTCTTGTGTCACTTGAGCTAGTGACCATTTCATTGTCATCATCTTTGGTCGTATAATGCTGTGATGACAATTGTCAATTATCAAATATACTGATGTAGTCTAATTAGAATGTCTAGTTTGGAATTGATTTGTAGACTCTCAGTGTTCCTAAAAGGTACTTTGTTTGCAAGACTATCTGCTGTACTTTATTGGTAGATTTTCAAATAGTGGGATCCGCTTCCCACTGTACCCTAGGCTGACTTCTCTCCTAGACTGTAAATAATTTTGGTACTTACTTTTGTATGATTTACTCCACTATGATAAGTTCTCTGAGGACAGATTTTTTTTATTGGCTGTCTTCTTATAATTGTATTGTACATTAAATATATTTCATAAGTGATAGCAGCAGTAGTTTTTGAGAACAGCTATGTGGTGGGTACTTTATACATATTATTTTAAAGTCTCACAAAGCTATTTTCCTTGTTTTTCAGTGCTGTGAGGCTCTTAAAGATAAAAGGACTGCTATAGCTCACAGAAATATGGAACATATAGAGCCAGATTTAAAATCTCTGACTCTTCAAACTTCCAAAATCCTCATTTTTCTAATACACTATTGGCTCTTCAGTACAGTGCTTAATGAGTGAATTAATCCATTGATCAAATAAGCCAATTTAAATATTTTCATATGCATTAAAACCAATATGAGACTATGCAAAATAATAAATAAGTAATCATGTCCCTAAATACCTAGAGATGGTACTTATTTGAATAATATATTTCTGTTTTAGATTAAACCTCCTTAGTTTGTACTGAATATAATGAAGTCTTTTTTATTTTTTATTTTATTTTATTTATTTTTTAATGAAGTCTTTTTATTTCATTTAATTGCAAATGACTGATAGTGACCCTGACAAGTCAATATAAAACAAAAAATGGCTTTATCTGAAGTTGGTTCTTGCTAGTCATATGAGATTGAGAATTTATAATCAGTTCTGTGTCTCTAGATTATTTACAAAAAATTTAATAAGTAATGCACATCAATTATGTATAAGAATAAAACTAGGAAATGTTCTTATAGAACTGCTCTTGCATGTGTGGCAAAAGTATGGAGTGTCTGTGAGATTATGTGGAGATTTGTACATGAGGTGAGAGATTTCATTTGTAGATTCATATCAACCATTTAAGAGAGTGAATTCTGCACTCCAAAGAATGGTATTTTATTTTTTAAAGTAGTTTGAAATAACAATTCTATAGCTTCAGAAATCTTTAATTGGAATTTCCAAAATTAAATCTGTTTCATAGGTCTGTTATTTTCTAGCCCATTTTATATTAAAACATTCTTAGCATGTAGCATATCTTTGAAAACATACACTTCAATCTTTCAAACTTTCTACTGCTTTTTAATGTTACAAAAGTCACAAATAGACACAGTTGCTTGGTGTCTGTTTCGGAGACTATAACAAAATACCACAGAATCTGTGACTTAAACAACAGAAGTTTGTCTTCTCATAATCTGAATCAAGATCCAGCTAGGTCAGTTTCTCGTGACAGCTCTTTTTCTGGCTTGCAGACAGCCATGTGGCTGAGAGAGAACAAGCTCCTCGGTGTCTCTTCTTGTAAATACACTAATCCTATATGATTAGGGATATACCCTCATGGCCTCATTTAGGCTTAATAACTTCTGTAAAGGTCTTCAGACATATCACATGGGTGTTTAGAACTTCATCTTCATCGTGTGAACTTTGTGTATATGTGGGGGGATACAGTTCAGTTCACACTTCCTGGATCTGTCTTTTAAGAATAATTTGAATTATGCAGATTCTGGCCACTATTTCTGTGCTCTGCACCTCCATAGCCAGTCCTTTCCTTTATTGCTAGCTAGAGCTTTGACACTTCCTGATTTTTCAGGGTTCCCAACTGACCTTGTAAAAATTTCAGTTTTGGAAATGAAGCTTCTCTAGAACTAATAATTGTTTTTATTCTTCACTAGTTCTTTCCTGCTTTTGGACCCATATTCCTGGGATGCCCTTGAGAGTTAACAGCTATAGGCCAGGATTCTCTTTCATGTTAGATAATACAAATGCCTATTGTTTCCTTGGTCAGTTTTTGAGTCATTCTTATGTTCTAAAGGAGATATTAGTGTTAATAAACTAACTGCAATAGAATCAGAAGCATCCGTCATTGTGAGATGGCTGACACCAGCAAAACTATTCAGCAGGCTAACTCAGTAGCATCAGACTTCACCACTGCTATTATACAGCAGATTCTATGTCTTGATCATAAGAGTGTCACACTGTATGCCACATACCCTTGCAGAGATTCAGATTCTACACATTTTTTTCACCTCTAACCATTTATCTCCTTAGGTCTTTGTGTTCCTGGTTTTTCCAAGGTGTATGTGTGCTAATCTGATCAACTAAGCCTGGTTAATGTGCTCACCAATACTAATATGCTAATGTAAATATTCTAACTCTTGTCATCCGTGTATTCTCCAGTGTCTTACTGGATTCCTGTAAAGCAGTTCTTCTTTTTTCTTAAAAGTTATCAGTGGTAGAAATTTCATATCAGCTATATATAAGATAATACTGTGTCAGGGCATGGAGTATTACTGGGCTGGTAGAGACCTCCACTGTTTTTCAAATCATAAAGACTCATCTAATTATTTCACTAAAGTAATATTTTCTTTTTTTAACCCCTCCTCTTTATTAAATGATTTCAAGAATGAGAGATTATTAGCTAAGAATGATGTGGCCTTAGGTTAATATCAATATAGAAGAGATTTTATGTCTCATATCTATTCATTTCTTAAATTACTCCCTCATTTATTTGTGTTGATCTTCTCAAAGGAGGAGTTACGCACTTGCATGCTTCCAAGTGGTACCATTATGATTAGCATTTGGACACTTAGTTTCAAATCTAGCTCTGCCAGCTATAAGCTGAATGACCCTTCACAAATCACTAAAACTATCTGTGCCTTAGTTTTTTTATTTATAAACTGGGATTAGTAATAGTATCTATTTGAAACAGTTATATGAGTATTAAATGAGAGAAATTATGTAGTTTTTAGTACGAGGCATGTAATAGCTTTTGAATAAAGACTAATTTGATAATAAATAAACTAAAATACTGAAATCAAATATTTAAAAATAATTTGTTGAGTCAAACGAATCTAAATTTAATTTAGGAATCATTGCATATATGCATTGCTTATGTCTAATTTCCTCTGCCACTCAAACAGTATATGTATATTTACATAGTTACACACATGCTGTTCATAGTTTTCTATTCCATGACTGAGGATCTCTATTATAGTACTTTTATTTACTTTTACTTTTATTTTTATTTATTTACTTTTTTTTTGGTACCAGGGATCAAACTCGGGTCCTTGTGCTTGCGAGGCAGGTGCCAGAACCACAGAGCTAAATCACTGGCCCAGATTTACTTTTTATAAGGTCTATTTGCCACAAGTCTTTTAAGAACATACAAAATTCAAAAAGATAAACTTGATAAATGTAGGCCAATAAAATGTACATGAAATTGCTTGAAAATAATATTAAAAAGATTTTCTGAAGATGTTTGCCCAAATGGAATATGGGCATGATGACTTAATTTGAATGTAACGTGTTTGTTTTCCAAAGAATTAACTTTCCTACTTGTGACTTTGCCAATTGTTAAGTCATTTTCTGTTTGATTTCCCTTTTTCATTTACACATTTTCTTTATATATGTCTTTGCTTTTCAGTTTTCAAATGAAGTAAGATTTTGCAGAGATAGTAACAACACTCGGGATTCCTGTTGCTACTCTGGGTTACCCTAGTTGTTAATTTTGGGATAGATCAACTTTTGTGTGTCACAATGAAAATTTTCTTTAAAAAATAACTCCCATGGATGGCGGATTTAGCTCATTGGTGCTTTGCCTGCCTTGAAAGCTCCTCAGTTTGATCTCTGGTACCGGGGTGAAGGGAGGACAGGGGTATGGGGAAAAAATAAGAACCAAGATACATCATGTAAATGTACAAGATCCTAATGATGAATGTAACTGTATTGTATACCTAAAAAGTACCAATAAGCAGTGAAAAAAATTAACTCCCCAAATGATTACTGGAATACAAGATTTAGTTTTTAAAATGACTAAAATGATTTTTTTAAAAGCCATGTAGATTATTGGCACTCAGTAGATGTTTTCCTCTCATTTACTCATAAAACACAAACCTTGATACTATTGAAAATATACTTAATTTATGTAGTACTTCCCAGAATTTAGCTACAGTTCACGACAACTTTGAAGAACTGTGATATTTTAATATAAGATACTGCACAGAATATAATGTTTTCTTAACTCCTATGCTACTAAAATAGTTTTTGCTTTTTCAACAAATGAGGGTGGATAGGTGGAAGATGTAAGAAGCCATTTAAACAATTTACATGTCAAAGATGCTTAACAAATAGAAAATTTGTAATTGTCATTCTATATCATTGGTAAGAAAATTTAATTTGGGAAAATATCAGCTTTCAAAATGATACTTGGATTGTTGCTCCTATGAAAACACATCAACCTATCCATGTTTGTTCTTATTACATGTAGATATTCTATTACTTATTCTAGAGAACAAAAGAGTGTCAGAATCTTGCAGGAAATTCAGAGCAGCTGTCGTTCTTTTCTAAATATCCCTGTCTTATAAATACACTTATTTCAGATTGAATTTCATTACACATGTTACCATCAATAATTCACATATATTTTGAAAATAACATCAAATCTAGTCTATCAACATAGTATTTTGGCAAATCATACCATGATGAATAAATAATCTCTTAAGTTTTTTCTAGTTTCAATGTTAGGTGATTCTAAGTAGCAGCTAGAATGGGCAAAAGTATATATAGTTAAAATGGATTTTACAGTCAAATTATTTTTGTAGCAAATGAAATGACATCATTGCAAAAACAATGGGAAAACTAAACTACACTTATTTTCATGATGCAAAGTAAAACTTATTTCTAATAATTAGCTTCATGCTAGGGAAATAGAAGAAAATATAGTTGAAAATTTTCACCCAATTTGACAAATATCAACGATTTTCAATATTCCTTTTGAAAATGTCATTTCTGTCTCATAAAATGACTAGTCATTTGAAAGACATTACTTTTTCCACTTTAAGGTTTAAAAAGGAAAGAACAACCTCAAAATGTACTATTAAAGAAAGAGCCCCCAAACACACAATTAAGTATCCAATTCAGAGATCTGAGAATGCTTGAATGTTGAATGCATACTACCTTTCAAATCTTGGAAGCCAAATTCTCAAACATGAAGTGCAAGCAATCATTTCTTCCCTTCATTTCTCTCTTCACTCAAAGTGAGGACTGAATAATTTAAAATTTCAAAATAAATCTCTATTCATGGTCTTATTTTAACTGTCTAGAATATCAAACTCAAAATTGTGTTTACTCTGAATTTTTATAAGTAGAAATGACAAGTGCAAATCACTTGAAGAAGGAAGACAGTATGTAACTGTCTTTCTATAGAAAAATCAATACTTTGTTACTTTAAATTATTTTGAAAAAACACAGTAATGCATAACTTTGAAATCATTATTCTTTATCCTAAGTTGAAATTTTTAAAATTATCAAAAAGTCCACTTGCAGACTCACAGTTTAGGTCTCTGTGGCTGGTGTCCTTGATTGTGTTCTGTGAGTGAAAATCCCTGACTACTGAACTCCTTTTGAGCCTGGAAAAGTTTAAGCTCAGATTTAAAATCCCTAGATATTGATGACTCTTGCAGAAATAGCTCTGTACATGTAATAGGATTGACATTGAAATAAGAGAATTAATGAAGGCTGTTCATTAATAGCAGCACAAAACAAATTAAAATTCAAAGAATTCAAGTATTGTTTTATTACAATCTTTGTCTGCCTCTTTTTATATTATTTGAGGAAAAAAATGTTTTTCCAGCATAGACTTCTGATATCTATTTTCAGAAATTCGCTTGCCATTTTTCTGACAAGAATAGATTATATTTTATCGAGAAATTTTATTGATTTAACTGTAATAAATATCTTTCTCAACATCATTTAACATGGTCTGTTTCTCCCTCAAATTCATCAACTGGCTAATTTATTCTCCTTTTTGTGTAATGAAATGCCTTTTGTGTTAAAAATTTTTATTGTTACTAGACAAATACAGAAATTCACCATAAATATGACCTCCCTCCCATAGAGTGACTCATCAAAAAAGACAAAAAATAACCAGTATTGGCAAATATACAAAGAAAAGGGAACCCTTACACATTGTTAGTGGAAATGTGAATTAGTATGGTCATTATGGAAAACTCTATGGCGGTTCCTCAAAAAATTCAAAATAGAATTGTCATAGCATACTCTCTACTGTGTCTATATCCAAAGCAAATCAGTAACTCAGAAATGAAAACATTATCATGTTTATTGCAGTATTATTCACAATAGCCAAGATATGAAATTAATCAATGTGTCTATCAAAATTGAATGGATAGAGCCAGGGATTTAGCCTGCCACTACCTGCCTCCCAAGCACAAGGTCCCAAGTTCAATTCCTAGTACCCCCCCAAAATTGAATGGATAAAGAAAATTGTTATACATGCAAATTGGAATACTATTCACCCATGAAAATAATGAAGTCTTGTCATTTTCAGCAATATGGATCTGAAGAAATTTAAGGTTAAATGAAAGAACTCAGGGGCCAGGGATTTAGCTCAGTGGTTCTGAAGACTGTCTTGGAAGCACAACGACCTGAGTTCGATCCCCGGTACCAAAAAAAAAAAAAAAAAAAAAAAAAAAAAAAAA